AAGCTCCTCAGAACTATTTTAGGTGTACCTAATGGTACTCCATCCCCTTTCTCTATGCAGAAACTGGTACATACCCAATTAAAGCTAGAATAATTGTAAGGGCATTTAATTATTGGGCTAGAGTCCTCTCACTGCCTGTTCCCAACTTGTCAAGTGGAGCAAATGAATATCTCCACTCCTCCTAGTACCAGTTGGTTTACATTTTTATCCAATCATATGCATACCTTTGGTTTTTCTCTGGAATTTTTTAAATTTAAACAATACAAACAATTTATTGTTTAAAAACAGAGTGCTGAATATATTTGCCCAAAGAAATTTGTTTAAATTATTACAAAATAAGATTGCCCCTTGGTATGCACTTAATAAAACCAAAATCAAATGCAAACATTATCTGAGGTGTGTTACAGTGCTATCCCTCTGAGAGGCACTTACAAGACTACAGCAAATGGCATCAGCAACTAGAGAGGGCTGATTTCTCAATCTCCCATATAATATGTGCTTCTGCCCTTGCTCCAAGGAAATTATAGAAGATTTTACCTATTATTTATTGTACTTCCCTCTTTTTGCTTCAGCATGTGGAAAATTTCTGGACCCCCTCTTGATAAGAAAATCATTTTGGCCTGATTCATATAAAATCAAATATCTAATGAAACTAGACAAGAAAACACTGCTATGGAAATTAGCAAGCTAGCACAGGCTGTTGCTAAAAAGAATATTTTACCAAAAGTTCCTAGTGTTTTCTAGTATTTTACTTGCTGTAGTAACACTATTTTAATGTTTTTACTGATTTTTTTGTATATTTTAATATATTTTATTAATGTTTGTCCACTTTTGTGCAGATGTTATCTCATCTGTTATGACTGGTGGTCAAAACAGTGAATTGAATACAGTGCAGTAGCCATTTTGTTTTCTAAATCAGAATAAAAACAGCAAAAGGCTTGCTTAAAGGCCCATCTCCCTTTGCTAAGGCTAATATTTGCCACCTAAAGGAACATTCTATTTGGTGGGAGAGAGTATGAATTAAAGGTTGTTATTCTTTGGAATAAGTAATTAGGGTGTGATTCTATCTATGTATTCCTTTTTTCCTTGGTTGTCTCTCCAATCAATATATTATTTAGGTTTACCCCTTTGTTCCAGCTTTCAGCCTATTTGCTTGAAAAGCTTTGTGCAAATTACTAAAAGCATTTTTAGTTCATCAGCTTGGTTCCATAGTTAGTGGAAGTCACTGTACTGTCAATAGACAATAATTTGCTTTCAGAAGATGCTGGGGTAATGATTTTATCTTGGGATCGCATCTGGTATTCCTCTATGAGCTCTAGATTGGTTAATATATCCTTCCTTGTCCTTCCTATTTTAGTTATCAGATAAAGCAGCATTCATATCAGGAAAACTGAAACCACTTCATTCACTTACAGGGATGCATCAAAATATCATTTTTTAGTTGTTCTGGCACACTGATGGGTATCTGTAAACCAGGGCTCATTCTGTGTGGCTTCTCTTTTTTTGTTTTACTCTCCATCATTTCAAATGTCTGTCTTCTCTGTCTTCAGACTTACTGGGCATGTTTACAAATGAATTTAAAGGATTGATCCCATTGCTATTGGCTGATTGCTTGTGAGTGTTCTGGAATAGTGAAATAATTCTTCACAAAATAGAATAGTGAAGGCCTGGCCATTTCAGCATACTTTAAAGAGTAACAGTGCTAATACAATCAGTCTTCTCCCCCAAATACATTAGTAAAGCTGTCCTCTCCTCTAAACTGCAGAAAGCCTGGAGATGTTGGTGGGTGGAGAGGGGTGGGTGGGTGGAGAGATGGGTTAAAAAAGGAATTCAGGAAACAAAGTGTAAATGAGAGGAAAAGCTGAGATTAGTTAGTGATCAGAGAGGAGATGGGCAGCCAGATAAATCCATCAATAAATACAGAAGTTTGCCTCCCAACAATCCAAAATATACCTTCAATTGCCCCAACAGGTCACCTGACTTTGCCTCCAAGGTAACAGGTAGCAAAGCACAACAAATTTAACATACACTGAAGCAATTATGAACGTACAGAGGAAAACACACGTTTAAAACTGGCACATATATAGGGCCAAGGAAAAGACACATATGCTGAGGAAAAAAAATATGTGATGTTAAGCATGCAAATGGAAACAGTGCCTAACCCTTGTTCTCTGATGCTATGTCACAGTTCAGCAATAAAAATTAAACCGCAAAAGAAATAACTTCTGAACACAAGTTCCCCATTCATTTGTGAATAACTAATGAGGGTTTTTGGTAGTGAAGACGACGACAGCATATATGCAAATATTTACTAACCACTTCCTGCCCCTCCTGAACCACACTAAGTACCTCCTTTAAATTAAGCCTATCTTAGAGGGCCTCGGGAGTCCAGACAAAGGCTGCTTTTAAAGTCTTGGCTACCTTCCCTAATCCCAACTCCATCGTCAATCTGTCTGCTTGCTGCCTCTTCTGCCACGGAATCAGTTTTGGGAAGAACCTTTGCAGGATCTCCTCGTCCTCCACTAGGTGTAAGGGCTGCCCTCCGTACCCCGCATCCTCGCTCTTTCGTCCGATCTCCTTGGGACAATGGGAGGTGGGCCAAAATGGAGAGCAAGGGCACATCTTTCCTTCCTATGTCCTGTTTCCCAGTTCGGCCTTCCAGAGGAGGGACGCCTCGAAGTCCACGGCCAATCCCAGCCGGGCCACGATCGTCAACCGGGACAATGGCAGCCACTGGCCCGAATACGCACCCTTTTCTCAACGACGACAAAGCCACGGTCTGGAAGCTCTCTACGACTCCGACCCTTCAACCACACCCTGAAAAAGAGCCTTTGTCTTATACCCACCACAGGCCTGCTGGGCAAAGCGGAGGAACGCCGTAGGCAGCCCTTCTCCCCGGCAGCCGCCCTCCGAGAACCGAGAAGCAGGAACCCAGCTCCTGAATGGCTCCACAGCCGAAATGCTAACCTCACTTCCTCCTCCGCCCCAGCCAGCTCTCACTACGCCTGCGCCAGCAACCCAGCCCCAACTGAGACGCCTCCTTTATACGGGCCATCGAAGACACCTCTGGCGCACGCGCGAAGGTTGCCGTTTAGATCGCCGTCTTTTACTTTTTTTCCACGTGACTTGAAGCGGAAAAGGAAAGGGAAAGGTCAGCGGCGACGTCGTCAGCGGAGGGGGGAAGAGCGGAAGGTCAGGGTGCCGCGGAGCGGAAGTAGGAGCCGGAGCGCGTCCGCCATTGTGGGAAAGCGGAGCCCGGAGTAGAGGTGGGAAGTCGTGCTGCGTCCGGCGGGTGGCTTTGGGAGGCACTGACCAGGACAGGCGGGTCCGGGCTGCGGAGACAATCAGCCAGCGGCGGAGGGGAGAGTAGAGGAGGCGGAAACAGCGACCACGACGACCTGAGGGAGAGAAGGAGGAGGCCCAAGCGGAGCGGGGTGAGGGGGATTGCGGCTCCCCGTGAAGAATGTCAGCCACCAGCGTCGACCAGGTACCGCCTTCTCGCGGCTTTGCGGTTCCCGAGTGGAGGATTCCTCGTCCCGCCTTCCTTCCGTTGGTCATAGCGGGGATCCGAGCCCGCTACATCCGAGACCGTGGGACTCCTCCCCTGCCACCAGGACCGCCCCTTCTGCAGGCCTAGAGGCCGCTCGGCCTGGGGCCTTCCTGCTGAGGCTCAGAAGCGATTCCATTGCTTGCTTTCATGAGAGGACAGCTTATTCTCTAGTCTCCTAAAGTCTACGAGTTCCGGCACTTTCCTTCCCAGGGCTTTCCCCTCTGGCTAAATATTCTGCCTTCCCCGACTCTTCTCAGGCGACTGTAGTTGGACGTGGCTCTGACGAATTCTGCAATAGTCGTTACCGTTTGCTCTCCATTATACAGTATTTTCTGCTGGCCTTTTGTTGCCGCGCTTCTTTTCTTCTCTTTTTGCCGCTTTATATTTATTTTTCTTGCTCTTTTGTCTTCTTACGGTGATTTTTTTTCTTTTTGCAGATAGTATGGCTTCGTGCTGCTTTTCTCTAATACAGTGCTATGGTTTTCAAACAGCTGTTTCTTGTTTATTTTTCCCTCCCTTTCCTAGTTTTGCTGTTTTCATTCTTATGTGTTTTTAACCTTCTACATTCTTGTCTTTATCTTGGGCTGTTTTTCCCATCGTGATCTTTGCAACCACCTAATGGACTTCTCTCTCTCTCTCTGTGTACACATTACCTTTTTAAAAGATAGTTGATAGTGGAGGCCTGTAGTGAATAGCAAATTTAACAGAAATCAAAATCATGTAGATCAGAGTCAGTACAAATAACATTCTAAGATTTGGGAAGATCATTTTTGAAAATACTTTCATTAGTATTGGCCAAAGCTAGGCAAGTACAGGTTTTTCTTCATTCTTTTATGCTTGAGTAATATGCAAAATTTATTACAGTTCCAAAGTCACTAACTCTAAGTGGATAGAAGGGGAAAACAGGAATAATATATACTGAAGCGTTTATAACCATTTTATAATAATGGGATGTTAATTTTTAGCTATGCTTTAATGGTAAATGGAAGAACATCTATCACTTTAAAAAGTAAAAAGTTCTAATAGGTTTTGTATCTTAATTTTACTGTTTATGCTGCTAATAGTATACTTTTTGTTTTATGTTTTAGAGAAAACTATCATTAGGTATCTTTTAAAGTGTATAGTACTAGTGGTATTCCAGATAGTAACCCATTTAGAATTCATTAGATGCTTAGGTCTGAGTATTATTTTTAAAATAAGATGACTTATTTTATATATTTAATTCCTCTAACTTTGTTTTATTTCATTGCTAACAGAGACCTAAAGGACAGGGAAATAAAGGTAAGTTGATTTTTCTGTCCTTAGAATCCCAGTTAAGCAAAGTATAATTATTTCATTAATCTGAAGAAACAGAGTATAATGATTGAGGTGATCCACTTGTTTGACAACTTTTATTGATGTAGTAAATAATTCATTAGGCTACACCAATGAAATTTTGCAAATTCTTTTGCATTTCTAATAAATTTAAATTATCCTAATGTTTTGCCATTTTCTTTATTTCTCCCATCAGAACAAATAGGAGTAATCAAATGATTAAATGACACAGATTCTTTATTATTTTATTTTGCTTATTTATTTCCCAGTTCAGATATCGATTAAGTGTCACAAGTACCCTCAAACTTAAAGTAGGTTTGCTATAATTAAATGTTTTTGCAGCAGGGCTTACAGTTTATTTTAGATGCTAGGATGAATTAATTTAAGGAAGTTCACAGAAAGATTCTCATTCCCTCCTTTTCATTCCATTCATTGGAAGCTGAGGAGGAAAGCCTCTAGAACCATTTGAGATAGAGTTTTCGAATTTCAAAAGAAGTGGGAAACGCAGAATATTGGCTGGATTTCTATTTGAATCCCCCCTTTTCCAGCATCCCCTTTATCCCATCTCACGCTGTTCAGGATGGATCATTAAAATGGTCACTTCCAACAGGATTTATTATCTGTGACATTTCTTATAGTTCTTTGTTTGCCAATAGGTCTTTAGAGCTGTTAAAGTCGATAGCATCCATTACAGTGAGATACTTTGCAAATTTGAAGGATCATATAGGGAAGTTACTGTGATATTTTTTTCCTGGAGTAGGCCCAGTCATCTCAGTTTGGCTTATTTCTGAGCAAAGAGATATATGTTTGTATTCAACCATTTCTGCATCTGAGAAGTATACAGGAATAATTATTATAGAATTCCCATAGTCCATGCTGCTTGTTTTAAAGGGTATTCCCTAGAGAATTTACATAATTTTTAAAAACCCCACAGAACTGTAAAAAAAATTAAAATAAATAAAACCACATAGTAAGAAAACTCTGTACTTTGCCTGAAAATGTTATTAAACGTTAGACATCTGGAAGAGTTATCAATTTATTTATGCAAAAGATTTACAATATATATGCTAACACTGATAACATCTTAGGGATAGTTCTTTTGGATATGCTTTTAAACTATAGGCATTGAGGCAAAGGGACTAGAAGCAAAGCTGTGTATTTTGTCTTTTCAGACACTGGTAATTGAACTAAATAAATTAAAATACTCTTAGTAATATGTACGTACTCAGTTTATAATACCATAATTTAAGATGGCAACTAGTGATGTTCTAGTCTTTAATCATTCATGTTTTATGACAAGATCTTGGCAGTTTATTATTATTATGGCTCTGAACGTATGTATACAGCCATCTTATAAGTAAAAGACCTAAGTACATTAAAATGAGTTACTAGTTTCATTATACTTTATACAATTGTTAGCATTTAATAATTGATTTTATATCTATATAGATATAGAATCAATTATCAAATTGCTTATATTAGAATTCTCAATTAATGGAATCCTAAAATATCTGTTACTCTGATACTGCACTGCATAGAACATTTTATTTTAATTTTCTAAGATAAACTGTTAATAGAAGTAAAACCCATTATTTATTTAGTATATATTCAGTTTATAAGCCACCTTTATTGTTAAGGCAATCCTAGTTGATTACAATATATTAAAGCAATAAACCAAGAAGAAAACAGGATTTTTAAAAAGCTATTATTACTATATGAGGAAAGAAATACCAAGAACTAAGGAATATACTGGTTATTTATTTGTATTTGCAATGCTTTAAAATTACTGAAATAGCCATGACTGAACCTCATGATGAACAGACAAAATGTCTGTCAGTGGAAAAGGGTGCCATACTTCTAAATTCTTTTTGAAGCTTTATATACCAGGTGCTACTTACTTAGAAGTCAGGTTTACTCAGATCAATAATATTATTAATATTTAAGTATGTATACAATCATATTCTTCATTTTATATAATTGAATATTATATTGAAAGAATAGTAATTGTGCTTTGCTTTGTGCTTTTGGTAATAATGAATATATTATATTTTCATGCAGATTAGATAATCAGATTTTTAATAGCTAAATTTTGGTATAGGTTTTGTATAGTTAGGGAGTAAATAAATTTATATTGATCAAGCAGGCTTGTGATATCTTATGTTCAGAATTTGACTGTTCTGGTACATAACAGTTATTGATTTGATATTTTAAAAATATGTTTTAGTTCTTATGAGCTAGTGGCATATGTTTCTGTTCCTTTTCTAAGGCTCAGTTGATTTTCTGTAAGCTGAATCACAGGAGAAACTGCTGTTGTCTTTCTCTGAAATATTTGAGGATTTTGCCTTTCCCTAAAAGTTGTATCACACATTTATATTTTTTCCTTTTGCTTACTCTGCCAGATTTTCTATTAGAATGAGTTGTACCAATTTTGGTATGTGCTGGTTTTGAATATTATTAATTTTAAAATTAGTGTTTTTACTTGAGATACTGTATGACTTTTATAATTTTGGCTTGTGGTCTTTAACAAGCCCATTTTTTTCCTCCCCTCTGTACAGAAGTTGTGCAAAAGGATGTAAATTATGTTAGAAGATTCAAAGTAATCTAATAATATTAAGATAATGTTTTGAGCAGAGAAAAAGCTTTCAGGCTGTGGTTTACAAAGATGTTGTATAGAAGGACTTCAAGAAAGAGTCTAATGAAGAAAACAAATTGAAATTGAAAATAGGTTAGAAATAGAAGTTTAGAGAAATAAAATCAGGATGCGATTCCTGAGCTTCATGTGGGATTGCAATAAAGCTTATTCTCAAGTTTCTTTATATTTTATAACACAAATTTTAGGCAGATTTTTCTCCCCTCCAAAATTGGCTATTTGTGACAGAAAAGAGAATATTTAATAGTGAGGTATATTGAATGGATGAGTAACTTTATTACAGATCATTGACCTACCAAGCATATCAAAATTAAAAGTGAGGTATGTTGGATATATACCTGAACCTATCTGCTTTCAGTAGGATATTAAAGCAGAGTATAAATCAAATAACATAATCATTGTAAAATGGGGGTGCAGTTCCAAATTGGTAAATTAGATGATCAGTTGAGTGGTTAGAATTATATAATACTTGTGAGCTGTTTCATTAGCAAGTGAAACTGTAAACTTTGGTATTCATTCTGGTTACCAGTAATGCAGAGTGCAAGCACTGCATTTTTAACACATCTGTTTGTATTTTGCTTAACTTTCAGATTGGAGATCAGATTATTCTAATTTATGTAAGGATTAGGTAGATTGCTACCTAATCCTTACCTGTACATCTAGTGTACATCCAGTGTAATCTTCTCACTTTAAAAAAAAACATTGCTGTTTGTTGACAGAAATAGAAACCAAGTAGAATACTGGGAAATCTTGAATGCGTGTATCTGTCTTGAAATTCTTGCCTATGCATTGTGATGCTTTTGCAAAGAACAGATTAGATATGCATAGAATAATACATGGACAGATTATTAAAACTACATTTGTAGGGCCAGTTCCGGTTACATTACAGTTTTTATTGGTTGAAATTAATTGGTATTGGCTTGTAGAAAATTAAATTTTTGTCATGTACCTAAAATCTGACTAGAAAACTACATTTTGAAGTAATACATAGGAGATCAGTCCATTTGTATATTTAGGTCAGTATTATGTTACTGGATTTTAGTCAGAAATTTTTACTAACTTTACATGGAGATTATAGGATTGAATTTGAGATTCCTTGTATACAAAGCAAGTAGAAAGAACTTTTAATATAAGCATTTGCAGATTTCATTTTTGAAACAAGTTATTGTAGATATATTGGTCTCTCACTGTATCTGAAGAATTTTAATAACAAATTTGGGCTTTTTTCTGTTATTCAACCTGTTTCAGTATAGAAAAGTTAAATTGTCTGCTTTTGGTAAGACATTCATCTGTTTCAGTGCTGAACTTAATCTGTCTATTTAGGACTTAAGGGGAAAACATTTGTTGTCATAGTATACTATACAAGGTAATTAGATAACTTAATATACATCTGAGGAGCTGTATAACACTAAACAGAGTGTTTAGTTAAAGATCTTGTACTTCTATATGAATCCATTGAAGTTCTCTTGTTCTGATGCACATAACTTAAGAGTACACTTCTTCATATTAATTTGTTTTCATTAGGATGCTTCTTACAGATAAAATTTCAGCCTTATCTTTTTTTTTTCTTGCTTTATACTCTAATCTATGACCACAAAAGAAAGTGCAAAGCTCACTCTTCACATTCTATTTATGTAATATTTTCCAGTTCTCATCTCTTTTCTGGATGATCCTGTAAATACAGAGTGCCAACTCTTTTGCTGCTTTTTGATTTAAGGATTCAAGGATACATGCATGTTGTCTATTGTTATGATTTACCTTAAAATGTTTTGATTTCCATTAGATGTTCAAAGTCATGCACAATGTTTCTAAATTTTTTCTAATTTTAGTTGCATTTCAGTTTCAGTGCAAAACGGTTCGATTCATCAAAAGGATGCAGTAAATGATGATGATTTTGAGCCATATCTAAGTAGCCAGACAAATCAGGTAAGTATTAACAAGACTGTTGTCTGTTCTTAGTCCTCTGTAATAAGTAATTAAATGAGACTGCTTTAATTATGCAATTAACAAAATAATGCAACCTTTCAAAGACCTCATAGGCCACTTGTAAAACATTGCTACATTGTGTACATGCATATGAGTTAGCTTTATTTTTCCTTAAAGAAATTCCTTTGCTTAGGTTCTAAATACTGTCAACCAAGGGTATTCACCTTGCAGTGGATCTGGATGGGAAACAAGCTTAACTAAATGTACATTTCTTGTATTCATATTCATTCATTTAATGTTCTAAGCAGAAGATGCATCTTGTTTTTAAGTTATACATTCTATTTTGTGTTAATTTCAAAGAGCATAGTTAAATTAGCTTTTATAACAGAAAAAATAAAAACAATGAGAAAAATTTTTTTGAAGCCTTGTTAATCCTTGCCTGAAGTATTAACCAGAGCTGTCTAGCTATTCTTAATTAATCCCATGGGGTGCTTCCGTTATTTTCTTCTTCATGCTCTGCAGTGGTGGCTATTTGACAAAGGCCATAGGCAATGTTAGGGATGATTAACCAGGATTTGCATATGTATCTGTGTTTAGATATTCTAGCTAAAACACTCTTGTCTCAGAAGTTTGTCTGGTATGCTACAGAAATGTTTTCTCTCAAGCAGCTGCAAAGAAATCACTAAATCCTTTATTTTTTTTCCTGAAAAGCTCTTAATCTGCTCTTCCACTGAGGTTCTGGATGTTTTAGTGTAGCAGGAGTTAAAGAAGCTTTTATCACCCAGGTTTCCATGAAGCAGATTAGTAGCAAATACGTGTACAGTGGAGAATTTGGTGGCATTATCCTCTGGATGCCTTGACTACCCAGTTTTCAAGCTGAGTGGCCTTGCACCTTTGAGCCTAGATTATTGTGACTGATGCACAGTCGCTGGGATGGTCTCTGCTGCCTTCTGTAGCTTCCAGCTTGGGATGCAGTTTGGTTGCTTGTTATAGCTGGTTGAGCATCATGGCAAGCAATATAAATAAAATTATAAATATTTGAATATTGACAATAAAAACAAACTAGTGTTATTTAATAAGCATAAGAAATTTGAATAATTTTAACAAACAGTATTTGAATTTTCATTTGCCAATAGATGTGTGGGCACTTTTTCAGTTGGGGCCAGGTTTTCTGTCATTAGTTTTTGTGTCCCACTTCATCAGCACTAAAAGATCTAACGACTTACTGCATGGTATCAGTAATAAAGGTAATCCTCGCTTAACATCCAAAATTGGAACTGGCAACTTCATCGCTAAGTGACACAGTCATTAAGTGAGACATCACGTGACCGCATCTTGCCATTTTACTGCTGGTTTCTCCATTGACCCTGCTTTTGGAAGCCGTCTGGGAAGTGCCCAAATAGCAATCACGTGAGCACTGCAACGGTTGTAAATGACCGCCAGTTGTGAAGAGCCTGAATGGCGATCACATAACTCCGGGGACACTGACGGTTGTAAACGCAAGGCCCAGTTGTAAAGTTACTTTTTCAGCGCTGTTGTAGCAAGGTCTGCCTGTATTGGACACAATTCCCTTCCCCTCCCCCATTTGTAAAAGTCACCTGAAACCATATCTGGAATCTTATGCAACAATGCTGATAACTCACAAGAGTTTGATATAAGAGCATTTCAGACATTTTTGTTTAAATTTGGGGAACTGCACATGCTTGCTGCATGTGATTAACCCTTGCCTTACTGTTTTTCTGGTGAAAGGCATAGTTTAACAAAAGCTGGAAAATGTTGAAATGTTAAAATATAATGCTGTTGAGTTCTTTCAGTGCAAAAAAGTGGTACTTTGAGATGTGTGCTGGGGCAAAAGAGATGTATCTGTGTTTCTATGCAGGGAGTAGTTGATTTGAGTGCCATATTTACACTGGAAAATAAGATATATAAATTCAATATGATGGTTTTAGTGGTCCAGTAAAATGGCCCTACATTTCATTGCCAATCAAAAAGAATATTCTAGGCCTGAAATTGACCCATCGTCCACAGGTAGCTGGGTGTAGGTGAGATGATTAATCCTTTGTACTTTAGGTCAATGTTGTTTTAAGCACACTTTTAGTTTATGCAAATAACCTGCCATATAAAAGTTACAAATGTCTATGCTTAATGCAAATATTACCTTTCCTATTTTGTTTTCCTTTAAGTCAGTAAATATTGAAAGTAAAACATAGGTAAAATAAACTATTGTGCCTGTTTTATTTTTTGTGCCATTGTACAATAAGCAATATTATTTAGGTTGAATAAACAGAACAAGATACATAAATTAGGAAGCATGTAGGTCAGTTAAGCTTGTAAAAAGTCCTGTCCTGCCTGTGCATTTTTGCCCCTTGGACCTTGGTGTATGCCCCTGGAATCTCAGATTCTGTTCCTCTTCTCTTCAGCAGTAAGGAATGAAGGGTGTTCCATAGCTTGGTTTCTTATTGCTATCTTTGTATAGTGAACTTACTAGCATCTTGGCATGAGACACAGTGAATTTTAACACATGCAGATATTATCGTCTTTATTCCTATTGGATAAATAAAACTCTTGGCATGTATAGCTTAGTTTAAGATGAAGAAAAACACAGGGAGAAGGCAGGAGCCCATTTATAAGGAATAAAATAAAATGGCATCTAGAATGTTCTTAAATGACTGGAAATGCATCAGTGCCAGAAGATGTGCAAGTTCATTCTTTAGAAAGACATTTCAGTGTAATTAAAATTGCACCACTGTTGAGTGGTTTTTACCTAATCAGCTATCATATTAACCACTGTTACTTATTTGGGTTTTAGGGTGGTTATTTTAGGTCTTTTAATGTGAAAATATTTTTCCTATACATAACGTAAGTTTTGGGACATGAACAGTATTAACTATTCTTAAATTTAGATTTGTAGGAAATGAACATTATAAATGCAGCATTAAAGTCTGATTATCATTCTTCTTCTTCTGCAGAGTAATAGCTATCCACCAATGTCAGACCCATACATGCCTAGTTATTATGCTCCCTCCATTGGTTTTCCATACTCTTTGGGTGAAGCAGCATGGTCCACAGCTGGAGATCCTCCAATGCCATACTTGACAACTTATGGACAGATGAGCAATGGTGAACACCACTACATCCCTGATGGTGTATTCAGTCAACCTGGGGCTTTAGGGAATACGCCTCCATTTCTTGGTCAGCATGGATTTAATTTTTTTCCTGGGAATGCAGATTTCTCTACATGGGGGACAAGTGGATCTCAGGGGCAATCAACCCAAAGCTCTGCTTACAGCAGCAGCTATGGCTACCCACCCAGCTCTCTTGGTAGAGCTATAGCCGATGGACAGGCTGGATTTGGCAATGATACTTTGAGCAAGGTACCTGGAATTAGCAGCATTGAGCAAGGTATGACTGGATTGAAAATTGGTGGTGAAATGACAGTTGCTGTAACAAAAACAGTTGGATCAGCTCTAAGCAGTACAGGTATGACAAGCATTGCAGCAAATAATGTGCCTGCAGTTAGCAGTTCAGCACCTAAACCAACCTCATGGGCTGCCATTGCAAGAAAGCCTGCTAAGCCTCAGCCAAAACTTAAACCTAAAGGTAATGTGGGAATTGGGGGCCCTGCAGTACCACCACCACCTATAAAACACAACATGAATATTGGAACTTGGGATGACAAAGGGTCGGTGGTGAAAGCTCCTCCAACCCAACCAGTACTGCCTCCTCAGACTATAATTCAGCAGCCTCAGCCTTTAATTCAGCCACCTCCTATGGTGCAAAGCCAGCTGCCTCAGCAGCAGCAGCCACAGTCACAACAGCCTCAAGGACCTCAGCAACAGGCTCAGCCTCATCAGCTGCAGCAGCAGCAGCAGCAGCTGCAAAATCGCTGGGTGGCTCCTCGCAATAGAGGTGTAGGCTTCAATCAGAGTAATGGAGCTGGCAATGAAAACTATGGTATAGGTGTTATACCAGTTAGCTCTTCACCGTCTGGTGTAGAAGTACACCCAGTTTTGGAGAAACTAAAGGCCATAAATAACTATAATCCCAAAGACTTTGACTGGAACCTGAAGAATGGTCGTGTGTTTATAATCAAAAGCTATTCAGAGGATGATATACATCGTTCCATTAAGTATTCTATCTGGTGTAGTACTGAACATGGTAATAAGCGCTTGGATGCTGCGTATCGTTCACTGAATGGAAAAGGCCCACTCTATTTACTTTTCAGTGTGAATGGCAGTGGACACTTCTGTGGAGTGGCTGAGATGAAGTCGGTGGTGGACTACAATGCGTATGCTGGAGTCTGGTCTCAGGATAAATGGAAGGGGAAGTTTGATGTTAAATGGATCTTTGTTAAAGACGTTCCGAACAACCAGCTGCGGCACATTCGCTTGGAAAATAATGACAACAAACCAGTTACCAATTCAAGGGACACTCAAGAAGTACCCCTAGAAAAAGCCAAGCAAGTGCTTAAAATAATTGCTACTTTCAAGCATACCACCTCAATCTTTGATGACTTTGCACATTATGAAAAGCGTCAAGAGGAGGAGGAAGCCATGCGTAGGGTAAGAAATCATATTACTTTTTCCTGGTTTGGGAGCTTGATTATTAAAAATGGAGTTGCTTCTGATCTTCACTAATAGAAATTGATAGATGAATCAATTAGGTGAATATGGTGATATTTATGAAATAATTATTAGGTGAATTAGGTGATATTTATCAAATAATCTGGACGTTTGTTACTGCCTGCATTAAATTTTAAATATCTTATTTTTAGTTTAGGTCTGTATTAATAAATTATAAGGCAAATATTTAATAGAAATTACAGTTATCCTTTAATTTCATTAGTGTTGCAGTATTGAGGTTCTGTGTGTTCATGTAAAGTATTTAACTTATAATAGATACTGGGGTGTACACAGAAGAAAATATGCCTTTACCAGCACTGTTGCTGGTTTAAAAAATATGAATTCAAAATAACAGGAAAATCAATAAAACAGTTTTTGAACTATTACTTTTGCATCTCCCTCCAAAGCATTGTAATTTGTATCCAAACTCATTGCAGACAAGGGATGGGCAACCTACAGGTCATCTAAAGTAATTAGCAGAACCTCAGTTCATGCTAGCAAAATTTAGTGAGAAAACTTTGGGGCAGAATGGTTGAGGGGCAGAGTTGAAAGATGAATGTTTCAGCCCCATTTACCTGAAAAATCAACATGTACTTGTCCATGTAATTATCAGGGGTCAAACTTTATGTGACAGACCTCTTTTACAGTCTTGTGATCTCACTGTATTACCAGGCTTTTCCCTTGCAGCATTGGTGAGGTGAACTGCCTCCTCCCTACTGCCAGTGTTACTTCTGAGTATAAGATTGTTGCTTCTGATGTAGAACTGCAAATAGGACTTGGTATTATCATAACTGACATATCCTATTGATTTCAGTGGATCTACTTCTAAATACAAGATTTAGAGGTTTTTTGTGTTTTACAGGATTTGGGGATGGGACTAAAGGAGTAAAATGGATTTTGAGATGCTTAATGCACCCATTTTCATCCCTTTCATCCCTCTTGAATTACACATAATGGATCTTGATTCAGTTTTTGTGACTGAAAGGAAACAAAGTTCTGATGAAATCATACACTATTGGAGGATAGTGTTTGTGAGTTACACAACTGTTCTCTGTCTTGTGTTTTTCCATTCTTGGATTGTTCTGAGAAGGCTAAAGGAATCAAACTGGGTAAAGCAATAAAAGCCTTTCTTCTGATTTGGATCTAAAGCCTCTGAGCCATCCTGATTTAACTTGCTCTTCTTTGGATTATCTCTAAGTAAGGATGTTGCTTCAGACTTATAGCTTACTTTAAATGATTGTGCAGACTTAATCACTGTATGAAAACACTTTTTGTCCCTGTGGAAACAAAATTAGGTTGAGAATTCAGACTGGAGTCCTGTAATTCATTTATCTGGGAGTAAGCCAAGATCATCTGGAAGGCTATTAAAGAATTCATGCAGCATTTGTGGACAGAATTGCTCAGATTTGAGAGAAGCTAGACTTCTGCTGCACACTGGCAATGGAGGTGATTGGAGCCTCATCTTGTGAAGTGATCTGGGATGATTTTGAGTCAGTGTCCTGAGGAAGCAGGGCCCTCTACAGTGTCATTTCCCCCACTTTTCAGTTAGAATCCTGCCCCTTGTGGCTGATTAAGGTCTTTGAGATGGCAGCAGAAGGTTGAATCTGAGCAGCGGTTAGTAATTTCTGAAGCACACGTCCTGCTCAAGAAGCCTTAGCTTAGTCCAGTTGTCCTATTTCCAATGCACCTTTTCTGGGAAAGGTTGTGAAGAAAGCGGTAGCTCTACAGAAAATAGATTATTTGGATCTTGGTAGTCAGGGCTCACTCTGAGATATAGCAAATAAATTGCGTTGGGTATGCTTGCCAGTGATGACTTTTGGAGTGAGTGCAATCCTCCTGATACTCCTTGAACTTGGGAATTTGGGGGTTCTCCTAGTTTCACAGCTGTTGCTTGAAGAGCAAGTAGCAGCAGTGACTAGCAGGGCTTTTGCACAATTAAATCTTGTGTACTGATTGCAACCATTCTTGGACTGGGAAGCCCTACTTATAGGCACTTGTGTCCTAATCACCTCTCTCAGGTTACTGTAACAACTCTGCATGGGGCTACTGTTGAAGAGCATTCAGAAGCAACATTTGATATAGAGTGTGGCAGCCCAGCAGTGATGGTGTGTCCCAGTATACTTGGGTGACACCTGTTTCAGGTTGTTGCCAGTTGGTTCCTGGTGTAATTCAAGATGCTGGTTGTCATCTTTCAGGCCCTGTAAAGCTACAGATCTGGTTATCTGAGGTACTGCTTTCTTTTGTATTCATCTACCTATCAAACCAGATCAGATAGGATAAATTCCCTTCAGGTCCCATCCCTATGAGGTTGTCACCTGATAGAGTCTTGGAAATGGGTGACTTCAGGAGCCATGCCCATGCTTTGGAACTTCTTCCCAGCAGAGAGATGGCCAACTTTTTCCCTCTTGGGCTTTAGAAATTGTAAAGGCCTACCTGTTCCACCTTGCACAGGAGGAGGGTGTATTGTAATTGAAGGTGGGGTTCACAGGTGCATGGAATTTTTATTTTGGAGGTTTTATCTTTTTGCCTTTATATTTTAAATGTGTTTGGGAGTCATTTTTAATCACCCAGAGCCTTTGGGAATGGATAACATGCAGTTAAAGTAAATAAGAAATAAATAATTCAGTGAGTCTGTCTTCTGAATCTGAATAATAATAATAATAGTAGTAGTAGTAGTTAAAGCATTAGACTGTTAATTTATGTATGGATAAAGTATTATGGTAGAACTTCTTGAAAATATCGTTCAAATGTTTGTGCTTTTATCTTAATTGCTATATTGTGAAATATTCCTTATAAAATGGCCCTTGGTGAGATAAACCAAAGTTTATATTGTATGTGCTTAATTAAATCCAACCCAGAGCTGATTCTTATTGCATGATCTATCCATGTTAGGATAACGTAGAACAAGACCTAATCTTCTGCATTGCTTTTTGCAGTGAAAGATGAATAAAGGGTTGTTGTCCAACAGGACTTTTCTAAGAAAGTTGAGTATAAGCCCCAGATAGGGCTTGAATCTGCTTGCCAAACTTCATATTTTTCATTTGATATGTTTTTAAAAGCTTGGAAGAATATTAGAATATCAGCAACAGAGAAGTTGCTGAGAATGCATAATGCTTTAGCCATTTCCATTTACTACTGAAAAGTTTAATAATCTAACTTTTTGTGAAATATTTTATCCATTAAGTGGAACGATGAGTTCTGAGTATGGAAATACTGTAAGTACTTAACCAGAATAATGTATCACATAGATGGTTAGGTTTACAACTACAAGAATTTAAGCTAGCCATGACTTTGGCCATTGTGACAGGGAAATGTGGAGTCTCAAATACATCTGAAAGATGTTACGTTGTGGAAAACTCTTCTAGGACATTGTCTGAAGCTAAGTAGGTGAAGAGTATCCAATATCCTTAGCTAGAAATAGTCACAGCAAGTGGAAATTCTGAAGAACTATATTGTTTTGTGATTATATTTGTTAGTAATTAAGAAAATCATTGGAGAGGATTGATAGAAGCTTTTCAATTAATAATTATACAAACTTATGGTTATTAACTGGAGTTACATTAGAGACACCAGCATCCACAGGGGGAGTGAGGGAGGTCAAGAATGGCAAGATGATACTAGTACCAGTGTCCCTCATGGACACTGGTGATTGCAGATCACCATTATAAAAGCCAACCACTGTTAAATTGGGATTTTTACTAATATTCTAAATGAATTAACAATATGAGGTTTTTAGAACAGCCTTATGATAATAAAAGCTTGAAGAATAACAATCTCTAACCGAGTTGGTATTTTCCTTTATACACTTTTCATATGCATGAGGTCGGGCCTATAACTATACTACATTATATTTGTTAAACCAAAGTTGTGTTTAGTTGTTGAAGACAAAAGCAGTCTTGTCATATATTTAGGATTCTGGCTAAGAGTAATAAACTGAAAGCATTATGTAAGGGCATGAAATAATTTTACAAAAGGACAAAACCATACCTACTTTGCAACTAATAACATGTGGTTTACAGCCTCCATGTTTTTCTGGAAATTTTCAATTTGTAAGATCTATGTGATGAAACATCCTCCTTTGTGCAGAAACAGCTTTGTGCCTTTCTGTTGATATGTAAGCTGTATCAGCTGAAATTGGGTTTGAATCAAAATAATGGAACTGGTTTGATTATAGGGATCTGATATGTATAGTATAGTATGTTCTCTTTATGATCTCAAATAATAAGCAAAATAGTAATACATGGCATAGTTTTCAAACAGCTTATGAACATTCTTTATTATCACCATGTTGGCTAGAGTTGTTAAGAATTATAGTTCAGCACAATCTGGAAAAAACAATAACATACTTTCCATGGTGGTGGTTATTGTGGATTATTGTTTTTTATTTACTTAATTTTTTTAAATATCATTGCATGGAGAGCCAATTTGGTGCAGTGGTTATGGCATCAGTCTAGAAAACAGGAGACTGTGAGTTATAGTCCTGTCTTAGGCACAAAGCCAGTTGGGCGACCTTCGGCCAGTCACTCTCAGCGCTAGAAAGCAAGCAAACACCTTCTGAAATCTTGCCAAGAAAACTGCAGGGACTTGTCCAGGCAGGAGTCAACACTGACTCAAAGACGTGTGTGTGTGTATGTAGTATTCACCTTGATCAGAAATGACATTCATACAGAGCTTATTTTTATACATGCTAACTGGAGTTGAATTCATGTCATGATCTTTAGAATTGTTTTTGTAGCTGTGATCACCTTGATATTTTATTAGTGTGTATTATCATCCAGAGTGCTCAGACTCTATTCTCCTAATATAAATAAATTAGCTTATTCTTTTAGAACAATATATTGATTTTTCCCCTTTTTCCCTTATGTTAAAAGGATAGGGCAATTAGAGTATGGAAGTGCTGAACTGTAATTTTATACCCTAGCTATGCATATCTATACCTTATATCAAGCTACCCTGGGAACCCCAAGACACTTTCTCATAATTCATCTGAATGAATCTCTTCATACTGATTATGCATCATATTATTTATTACTAATCTTAGGCATATATTGTTTTAGCTGTCTGTGTTAAAAGTCAGAATGTCAAATATTTACATTTTCTGTCTTAATTAAATTTTGATTTAGGTGAACAACTGGCTCAGCTTCATTTTATATTTTAAAAAGTGTGTAACATTTTGTATGTATATAATCTGATTAATTTTGAGCATGATTTTAATTCTAGATGACTTTACAAGATAGGAAAAGCCGACAATATGTACAGAAAGTTTAAACATAAGGGAAAAGATCACAGGGAAGAGCAAAGGGAAACATTACAGGTATTGACTTATTTGAAGGTGTAAAATTAACATAATTAGTAAATGAGGGAACAATTTAATATGCTGTTCAGGTTTATAAATGAAATATGTTTAAAAGTCTAAATGCCTTTTTTTTTTCCTCGTAAGTAAACAGGAACAACAAAAAGACTTTTTTATTAGCATGTATATAGTAAACTTTTTTTAGGCACTAAATTTGCTTACATTGTCCATTACAGGAAGTTTTCATTTATCAGCTGATAGATTTTCAAGTTCCTTAAAATGTACTTGCTTGTCTCCTTCTAGTAATTTCCCAGTGGATAATGTCTTCATTGATTTCTTACAGAATACTGTTCATAATAAGTAAACTAAAAAACTGAATTGCTGCTTGAAAGAAATCGTAAGGAACAAAACAGGCAGAATGGTTTTGGATCCACTCTCTCTCTGTCATATTTTGTAGAGAGTGTATAAATTCAATATGTGTTTAGAACAGTAAATATAGCATACCAATAAAAAGTAGAAGAATTCATATACTTACCTCTCCTAAGTTATTTTTAAAAAGCACTATCAGGAATTTATATTTCTGTGAATTTGTCATGGGTTTGTGTGCTTTAACCCATATTGGTTATGCACACAAACACACTCCTCTTTTAAAAGACTGATTTCAGTCTGGATTATTGGTAGCAGAAGCAGAACTTTCTGCAGTCTTTTGTGCTGAATGTTATGCTCTGAATAAAAAAAGACTGGATCCAGGTTTGATATACTGAATAAAAAGGATTCTTGCACTGGTGGAAGAAATTCTTCATTGTAGGTAAGGGGCAGATCATTGATTCTTTTTATGGATTCCTTCTTCCCCAAGTACTTATTTTTAGAGATGATCCCCACATTTCCAGATTTTGAGAGGCTACAGGGGAAGAAGAATCAATGGTTGTTTTGCCTTCCAACTATGAGGTATTTCAATTTGCAGAAAAGTGTTCTGAACAATTCTGATGCAATCCATGACGCATAATGAAAATAAGGGTTTAGCATAAGAGCTCTGGGAAAATAAAACTGGCGTTGAAAAGAATGCTTGTGCAGATAGTTTTCTGAATACATTGATGAGGTGGCAGTTGTTTTTCTCTCATGTTGTTTTGCTAGCTCAGAAATTGCCCTTTTGGAATGAGGAGCTTTCTTCTTACAGAATGGCACCTTTTGAATACCAATCTATTAAAACATAATACCTTTTAATAAGTTTTAAATTGCTATCCAAGAGAAGATTTTATAATAATTTGTATCATCTATGACTTTGTCTACATTGCTAAGTAAAAACTATGACAACCCATTAACAGTGCCCAATATTTTATAGTTGAAAGAAACCCTAATTTGTTATTGAAAATTCTTTTAAACTAAATAGTTGGTTAACAGATGCAACCTAGGCCATTTTTACTGAAAATTACATATCGACTATGTTTTACAGTCAATATGAGTAAATTATGCAATAGCCAAAACAAAATTTGGCTGATCTCCTACTGAAATTATAAGTGCAAAACAGGGTTTATATGAAATTCTGTAACCATGTTTCATACAACAGATTGTATGTTTGACAGAATTAGATGTTCACAGGGTAGCACACTTGTTTCCCTCCTGTAGTTTTTATTTATTAATTTATTAAACCAATTTATATAGCCACCCATTTCACCACAGGCGACTCTGGGTGGTGTTCAACAAAGCTATAAACAGTTAATAAGTACATTAAAAATATAAAAAGCAAAATAAAACAGAGAATAAGAGGATGTTAAAAATAAGGGAGCCACCTCACTAATTCCCCCATCCCCTCGAGTCCTTGGGCCTGCTGGCATAATCAAGTCTTAAGGGACCTCCGGAAGCTCAACGATGACAAGGCCAACCTCACCTCAGGGGGGAGAAGATTTCACAGCGCAGGCACCAAAGCAGAAAAGGCCCATCACCTTGAGTCCATCAGATGTAGCTCCCCAGGTGACAAAACCCGTAACATGCCCTCTCTGCTGGATCCGGTAGGACAGGCAGATGAATTCAGGGAGAGGTGGTCCCTCAGATAGCCCGGCCCCATGCCATGAAGGGCTTTAAAGGTTAACACCAGCACCTTGAATTGGGCCTGGAAAAAAAATGATAACCGGTGCAGCTCATGAAACAGAGGTGTAAT